ATTTCAGGAATTTCTGTTCACGGTGATCAATTTTAGCAATTTGGCATCATTTCAGAATGATGATAGGGTTAGCAAACAATGAATACTGATCGGAATCACTTTAATCATGAGTGGCATTTCTTAATCTTCGTAATTTTCAGTAGTTTTCCTAACAGCGGTCATCATGGTAGCGGCAAAACTGAAAGTAATAGAACGGTCAAACTAATAGAAACAAGCATTTAGCTTTGTTATCAATTGCCGTATGAACAGTGGTACAGTTGTAGAGCCGTTTCCGGCAATTTCCGTTACGATTCGCTGTACGAGCGCGCTCTTTCGAGCATCTGCAGTAAAAATCGACCTGGCGCGGCTTTCTTCTTCCGGCCGATCAGTATGTTGTCCACTTCCGTTCACCGATGGAAAATACGGTGGGATTATCAATTACTTAACGTCTAATGGCCCCTAATTCGTTGACAATTTAATGGTCGTTGATATGACCGCCACTGGGTAAAGATGGCCGAAATACGATTGCGTCTGGTCGGCAAAAGGTTGACAGAGGGGAGGGAAGGAGAATGGCGGAAGTAAAAGAAAAAAAATGTATGACGTCACGCAAAATGCGAACCAGAAATAAACCGCCCAAATTCATTAACTGCCCATTGGTTTAATTAATGTACCATGTGATAATTGCTGAGTTGACTGTTGCTGAAAATGTATTGAAGAGTGAGTAGCAATGGTGGAATGAAAAGTAAAGAACGGAACTGTCCAACAGATTAAATTAACAAAGTTTGCAATAAAAAGGAACATGGCAAAATATGAAATAACTAGCAGTAGAGCCCGGCGTTGCCCGGGGATGTCACAGTAAGAGATAGATCAAGTATCGACCATTATAAAGACTGAAAAATAAAATTGACAAAGATTATTGTTTAAGGTTGACGGACACGCATGTCTTAATTAGTTTTTTTTTTCTTTTACGAATTGGTCAAACCCAAACTCAAACAAAAACATTGTTTTCAATCGTTATGAGTCTCCCAATTGAATAGAATTTTATTATAAATAATTGTCTTGTAAATGGAATTTTTAAAGCATTCTGAATGTTAAAATAAAGAAAAAAAAGTGTGCAAGAGAATAAGAAACACTACCTGCCAAAAAAAAAAAAAAGTGAAGTTTTGTTTTATCGGCTGAAAAATGTAGGAAATCCGCTTCCATATTTAAAGAAACCCACACACACAAACAAACCGATGTGAGTTGTCCCCCTTCCATTTTCACGATGTCTCTTAATCGTGTTTTCAAATTGATTTTGTGCAAAAACAATTATATTTTTCTCATTTTTGGCGCTGTTAGAACCACCGCAATGTAATTTTACGTAGTCCTGTGAAGTTTTGTTGAAATCGGTTGAAAAATGTAGGAAATCCGATCCAATATATAAACGTTACAGACACACACACACACACACACAATATGCGTTTTATAATAAGTAAGATATCAGCAAGCAATGAAACAATATATGCAAGGCAAATTACTAGTAATAAGGCAAAAAGTTCACAAACTAAGAATTGGCGTCGACACAAAATTCAAGGTCGGGCAATCAAACGTAGCGGTCTGACTTCTAGACAAAATGCAGATCATGACTTAATCATGTCAAGCTACAAACCGGCCTATTTTATTGGGTAAGAAAAAAAATCCTAGCATGCATTTGTGAGCTTTTGCTTATAAAAGGAGAGGTGCAAGTTCTTTGCGATCATTCATAACAGGTTTTATAAATTGTTACATCATTGGGTGTTTTGTAGGTCCCTGATGAATATGTGGTATTGTGGTACATGTAGGATTGAGAGGTGATGGACAAGTTTTTGTGGTGATTGAATATATTGTGTTGAATGAATGGATCGTGATTGTATTTAACTGACACTAGCATAATTACTGAGTACCAGCCTTTTTCCCATTCCTTTTCGGTCTTTTGCCATAATTTTGTATTAAAAATGCAAAATAAATATACATTCCTAACAGGAATAAAATCAACATGTATGGATGCTGAGACGTGTAAAAAAAAATGAAAAATAGATCATTAGTGAATATCTATGCGGATTATAAAACAACTTTTAGGTTCACATCCCAAAATCTGAAATCCTAGAACTTAGCAACTCATCTGGCTTGTACAATTCAGTACGGCCCCAAAACAAAGTAGAAACCTTCCATCACCATCGAACAGAATATGAACTTTTTCCCTATCCTGATGGTTGAATCTTCTCTCTAGGAGGTTCGGGGTCTTGAAAGCGTTCAAAAGCGCCTATGCAGTCTAGTGGATGATGAATTATTTTCCACCCTACAACCTCTTTCCCACAGAAAAAAAAAAAAACGCCGCGGACCTCGCACTGCTCTATCGCTATTTCCAATATATGTGTTCTGACGAGATACATTCCTTGGTCCCACCACCCCTGACATTTACAACTGGCACCCACCATGCTGCACCCACAAGGTTGAATCATCCTCATTCCCTTCGTATTCCATTAGCAAGGAGTAAGTTCCACTGAGACAATTTCTTCCCAAGAAGTGTAGAACAGGCTCCCGAGAGGATGTTTTCCCAATCACTATAATCTCGGCCTCATGAAGTCTACGGTTAAACGTTATATTTCGTATATAACCTCATGATCTTCACTGCTTGGCTGTTCTTACACCCTTCAACAACGCATGCTAACCCTCTACTTTGAGTGGCTACTGGGCCTTGTACTGATGAACATTAATATATAAAAAGGAGATAAAATATTTTGCTGGCAAGTTATTAATCACTGGGTTAATACCTTTTTTAAAATTATACTTTCAGTATGTCTATATTTCTGAGATGAGGTATTATACACTATTTACATTATTCAGACTATTGTTCTCATCTTTGTCGCCATACTTATTACAACGTTTCGGCCATTGTACGCTCCGGCCTTCTTCAAGGACACATAGCACAGTGGATAAAGGTTAGATCCAGTGACAGGACCCAAAGAGTGTGAGTTCAATACCTGGTTAAGGCAGCGGAGAACTTGGAGAGAGGAATTAACAGTAGATAACTGATAACTGACATCCATTAAACATGGCACGTGGAACTAGAACAGTCTACACCAATGAGTGAAATAAAGTATTCAGTTCGACATTCCAACCATCTGAAGAAGGCCGGAGCGTACAACGGCCGAAATGTTGTAATAAATATGGCGACAAAGACGAGGTCAATAGTCCGAATAATGTAAATATTATACTTTCAGTTATTTAATTAAAAATGAAAATTGTGATAAGAAATTCTATATAAACACGGAACGAAAGAGAGAGAGAGAGAGTGAGTGAGAGAGAGAGAGAGATAAATTTTTTAGTAAATTTTACTCAATACAAATCTCAAGATCCAGTCAATATAAAGGATTCCAGAAAACAGAATGGTAATTGTAAAATAACCATAACGACAATGGTACTAGTAATACTGAATTACTTTATCCTCGTACAAACGAGATACAAATACAAATAAATAAATAAAAAAAAACATGGCCCCTGACCACTCAGCTGTTCATATAACACAGGAGGAGATAACTGATGTTCTACTATGTCTGCCTATGGAAATCTCCTGTTATCTAAGGCAGCGTTTTCCAACGTGGACACTAGCGCCCTCCTTGTGGACACTGTTACATTGAAAGGGGGCACTGGAAGTTTTTATTTCATTTAAGGGTCGAGAGAGACTCTCAGAGGGAAGTGGGAATTTCTCCATTTTTCTTTTTCAAATTTATCAAAAATTATTCAATATTGGCTACAAAAAGAAATTTCTGAAAAGTATCAAAAGCTGTGGGAAGCTATCAAACTTTTTTTCGTTGTTTTCCAAACTTCCTATATTGCTGAATGCCGTTTCAACGCAGTTACATAGTTTCTTACTTAACAAAGAAACCGCCTTCAAGTTAGAAATCGAGGAGATCTACGATCCCTTCTAAGCAGCCTGGAATCTAGAATAAGAGCCTAAGCTAGAGAGCACCAAAGTCAAACATCGCATTGAAAACATTGAGATCAGCTATGAAATGAACCAAGCACCAATAAGATGGCATTGAAAACATTGAGATTATGAAATGAAACCAAGAATAAGAGCCTTACCAATGTCATTGATGGCATTGAAAACATTGAGATAAGCTATGAAATGAACCAAGAATTATCCTTATCCAGGAAGCACCAATGTCATTGATGGCATTGAAAACATTGAGATAAGCTATGAAATGAACCAAGGAATAAATGCCTTGAAAACATTGAGATAAGCTATGAAATGAACTAACCAATGCCATTGAAGCACCAATGGCATTGGCATTGAAAACATTGAGATAAGCTATGAAATGAACCAAGAGTAAGAGCCTTATCCAGGAAGCACCAATGTCATTGATGGCATTGAAAACATTGAGATAAGCTATGAAATGAACCAAGAAATGAACTATTGAGATAAGCTATGAAAGAGTCTTATCCAGGAAGCACCAATGTCATTGATGGCATTGAAAACATTGAGATAAGCTATGAAATGAACCAAGAGTAAGAGCCTTATCCAGGAAGCACCAATGTCATTGATGGCATTGAAAACATTGAGATAAGCTATGAAATGAACCAAGAATAAGAGCCTTATCCAGGAAGCACCAATGTCATTGATGGCATTAAAAACATTGAGATAAGCTATGAAATGAACCAAGAATAAGAGCCTTATCCAGGAAGCACCAATGTCATTGATGGCATTGAAAATATTGAGATAAGCTATGAAATGAACCAAGAGTAAGAGCCTTATCCAGGAAGCACCAATGTCATTGATGGCATTGAAAAACATTGAATAAGCTATGAAATGAACCAAAAGAATAAAGAGCCTTATCCAGGAAGCACCAATGTCATTGATGGCATTGAAAACATTGAGATAATCTATCAAATGAACCCAGAATAAGAGCCTTATCCAGGAAGCACCAATGTCATTGATGGCATTGAAAACATTGAGATAAGCTATGAAATGAAC